GAATAAATTGGGCCCCGTTTGAGGAGCAACATTTATTTTAAAAAAAGATTATGCACTGTAATTCCACTGTAAGAAAATTACGTGTTCAATAGACTGAAGTCAAGTCAACATGAAAACCACCAAAGTTAAATAAAATGATTTGTAGAAGGAATTAAAACCTTACAAAACCAGAATCTGGAACTGAGTGAGGTTTATTGCCAAACGGAGCTGACAGGAAACCACACTGACTAAAAGCCAGGTAGTGCATCAATTTATACACGATTCTTCAATGCCTGAGTTCACCCCCTACTGACCTACGGCTGAATCACAGGCATTCATACAAAAGTCTCAATCTWATGTTATAATAACATTTCAATTACGTGTTGTCTATAATTCGGACATGTAAMTACTCTATATCAATCAACACATAATAGATCAAACATTATAAAAGGAAAACCTAAGAATCTAGTGTTGTGCTTCTAACATCAGTACTAACCTCTACTAACTATAAATTTCTTCACCACCATTRTTCGTTTGACAGATGATGGAATGGGCTCTTGAGGATTTTCACATTTTTCCAGGGTRTTTGTGAAACCAGCACTTGAGTTAGATTTACTGTGATATGAAGACATTTACCCAGCAGAGGCTCACCGCTCTTTGGCTTTTATTTTTATCATTAGAGTCTCTTTTCCTCTCCCCAGGAGGAACCTTAGTTCTGTGAAAAAGTCAGGTTTCTGTGAGTACTCCCTTACTGGATCCTGGGGAGTGCCACAGCTTGTTTGTGCTTTCCAGTTTTCTGATGCTAGGTGTTGTGTTTCAAAGGAACTGTTGCTTAAAAAAAAAAACCTGAAGATCTTAGATCTGTGTTGTATAGACTGTATCAAACTGTACACTGCAAAACAACAACATGAAAGTGATCAGTCTTTTTACAGTTAGATTAAGCCCCTATGTTTACTGTGTAAGTTGGTAACTTTTTTTAATTTCTGCAAAGTTACTTTATCTTGATCAAAAACTGCGTTCATCACTGTTTTCACAGTTACCATCCTCAACTGTTTTTTACCTGTTTTTATGCAGTCAAACATGATGTTACACTTCCCTAAAACTCATAATGAGTTGTTTTTACTTCCCTCCATGTGTTCTTTTCAAAGAATTGGATGAAACAGATGGAAGCCATCACCTCTCTTCTCTAAACTGACTTATCTCAGACTGAAGACGGGAATCAAAAAAGATTTGCTCTTATAATAAAGTCCATCTGTCAGCACCTCTGGTTTCCACTAATGAACGTACACGATCAAACGCCTCAGTTATAGTTGCTGACGAGGCTCGTTTAGATTTTAAAACCACAAAAGACTTACTTTTTTATATTCTTGTGAGTTTAAATCTTCATCTTCTGCCACCTATCTGCAGTCGTGCCACAGAGGCAACAGGTCCAAGAAAGAAACCAATGACATCACCCTCAGCAGCACCCTCCAGCTCTTCTTGGGGGGACCCCAAAGCGTTCCCAGGTTCTGGGCAYCTTATCATTGGAACATGCCTCTAAAGGGAGGCGTCCAGGAGAGATGTCCAAAACCACCTCAACTGAYTCCTTTCAATGTGACGCAGCAGCACCTCTCCTCTGAGCTCCCCTCGGATGATGGAGCCCCTCTTAGTTAGTCCAGGACTGGATCATCAGTAATAGCAGCTCTGGTAGACTTGGGCGGTATGATGGTATTGTGGTGTTCTTTGGTATTAAAATACGGTGACTGTATTTAAAGATCACGACCCTCTGGAGTCTAGTCACRTGACATATTTAAATTGCTCTAGTCAGAAAGATACGCCTTCTCTGAATCTCTTTCACTTTGTGTCTAAAGTAGAGACATCAAACTGCACACCAGGTTTGAACTTGTTTTGATAGACCAAATAAAACAGGAGCTATGATAAATAGTATACAAYACTTGTTTGTTTCTGAAAACGATCGTCCTGTTTGAAGCTAAACAGCTAAATCCACCGTTGGTCTCATCCATCACTCGAACCGATAAAACATAAAACTCCGGACCTTCTTTCTTTCCAAAACCCAAAGTTATTTGACAAGTGCCAAACAATCTACAGGAGYAAGAAACTAAAAAGGCTTGAAAGTTGAATGAAGTTCGGCGACATTGGGGAGATGGTGGGCAAATAACACGCCAGAGATCGTACACCCCCCATGTCCCACCAATTTCCACCCAGCCCTGGTAATACCTTATACTGTGGTATCATTGAAAGATAATGTGTACAAAAAAAGATCAATACCTCAACTGGCACCCCATAATCCTATAGCCCCCAYCACAAAATGCCTTAGTGAACAATATATGTATTTACGTTCATATGGTGTTCAAAATGTGGAAAAAGTGTTTTTTCATGTGGAATCGTTTTGTGCCCTTGTGCTTTATTTCCAGTCATTTCACTCAGTGTTCGGTCAGTGGCTTCAGTGGATTCCCCTGTTGGATTAATTTCATTTGGAAAGAGAACATTTGGCTCGTGTCACAGCAGAGACAGTTTGCTACTTCCACCACGGTGGTGTTGCACTGAAAGAAGGACATGAAAATAGCTGGTCAGATGGCAAGAAAGTCCTTAAACTTTGCATTATGAATATTTTATGTCCCAAAACGTTACCTTATTTAAAAATAATAAAATATTATTGTAGTCTAAATCACAGGTATATTTTAAAATCCCTGCATCACAATATGATAATTAATGTGCCTCTGTCTTGTAGGTGCTTTTA